AGCAAGACTATTTTGAGTCTGGCATTCCGAGGGCAAATGTCTAGGCCCCGTCTTTTGTTAAGCCACATCTCCTCCCCAGGATCATATTCCTCTCCTCCCTTTAATCATTGTGCAAGCTATGTTTGCGCCATTTAGCTGAGCGGTGATCCTTCGTGCGTGCCTTCTGTCGCCGCTCAGTCGGAAGAAACACGGCCATTGTTGCGGGGTCTGACACTTCATTTCAAAGGTTCCCTGTTTCAGGGCTATTCACCTTTTTGCAGCGAGCGATTCTAGACGCTCTGACCTTATCACCTGGCTGACTGCACGCGCACGTTCAGATGGTCACAGGCCCCCATGTCTCCAACTTGAAAATATCACCCATCAGCTACGGCAAGACACGTTGCTTGCACTCAACTATGCTTGCTTTAGCCCGTCCCCATTAACCCATTAGTGCAATTAACAACCACGTCTGATTTTGCACGTGTCTAGGCCTCTAGGAAGCCAAGTTAGGCAAACGAACGTTTTCAGTTAATTCATCATCTGGCAAATACAATAATATCAGAGAGGGTAGAGTTAACAAAAGTTTAAGCGAACAATCAGTAGTAATTGGAGGGAGAGGGGTGGAGGTGTTAAGGGATAAAAGGGATCACATTCTAGTCATAATTAGGGACCACAGAAGAAAAAGGAGGTAAGGGGTCCGGCAATTAGTTCTTGTCGCCCCGTCGTCCGTCTCTCGCTGTGTGGGGAGGCGTGAGGACGCAAGATGTCATTGCCTCGTGACGGCGTAGGCGGCCTGGGGGTACTTGCTGTCGCTGTCTCGTTACCGTCTCGTTGCGTGGTAGGAAGCCTTATAATGGATTTTGAGTTGGTCTTCGGCCACGGGAGCCTTAGTGCCTGTACAAACGCCTTCTGTACGCATAAGATTGGGTTAGTATGCCGTAGGGCCACTGCCTCTGTCGTCGCAAGTATCTCCTGATGCAGGAACTTGGAATGATTCGCCGGCACTTTATACATGACTCGAAACGCTTGGTTTACGTCTACCCGATGACCGCTGTCAAGCAAGTGAACGAAAATCACGCAAGAGATTGACTTTACCTCGCCTCTGTTTAGCCAAGAAGGATGGTGTTCTCCGATGCGTTTGGATAGCCGTCTAGTTGTTCGACCTGCCCCACAGGAGCATGTGAAGGTGTAATGCCCCC